AGCCATGCTGGTAGTTAGAGAGAATATTTCTATCAGAAAGGAATTTGTTAATCTCGTTTGCTATGATATGTTCAAGCAGCTTGCACGAAGAGGATGTTAGTGAAATCGGACGATAGTTAGTTAAAAGTGTTGCATCTCCTTTCTTAGGCACAGGTACGACACGTGCTCTCAACCAATCGCTAGGAAGAACTGCAGAAGATAACGATGCATGAAAAATGACAACTAGAAAATGGGACAACTTTTCTGCATATCTGTGCAGAAAAGCATTTGGTAAAGCATCCGGACCAGGTGATGACTTAGTTTTCAGATTGAGCAACATAGAAACTACCCCTGGTTGCGATACTATATCGGGTGGTATAATGTGAGGCATATGTTTTATTAACGGCAGATCATAAGAACGGGAAAAAACACTATGAAAAAATTTGTTGAAATGATCAGCAATGCTTTGCTTCTCGACGACTAGGGATCCCTCGTGTACAATTTGGTCAACTGACCTTGTTTTTTCTTTTAAGTACCTCCAAAACTTTTCCGGGGCATTTCGCATAAAACCTGGCAGCGTATGCTGGAAGTACCTTTCTTTTGCGTTTTTCACTATTTCATTTAATTTAGGTTGAATATTTAGAATAGTATCACGAGAAGCGCCTTGTCGTCTTAAGCGTTTAATCTTTCTTTTCAGTTGTAGCGCTTCTCGCGTCATCCAGGGATTTTTCTTTGCTATTCTCTTTGATTTCTCAGGAATAAAATTATTAATACAGTACATGCATATGTTTATAAACTTTTTCCAAAGACTGATAACATCGTCACCATGAAAACTGTTGAGACTAAAATCAAGGAAGTCCAACACACTCTCGTCTCTGGCGCGCGAGAAATCTTTAACAGTCACCCTTTTACATGGATTGATGCTACAAGACTGTATTGGACAGGAAAAATACACCATGTGGTGATCAGATATACCTGGTTCAACCGATACAGAAAAATCACCGATTGTTTGACTGACAAAGACAAGATCAAGTACCGTAGCTGACGTACCATGAACACGTGTCGGTTGATTGACAACCTGCCTCAAGTTGTGGTACAACATGATATTACTTATATAATTAGAATTTGTATTTAAATCGGGACCAGGGTATTCATTCACCCAATCTATTTCAGGCAGGTTGAAATCTCCAACAAGAAAAATTTTGTCATGAGAAAATGAAGACATGTGTTCACAGAGGTCATGTAAGAACTGAGGGGATGAATCGGGAGGGCGGTACAAGCCAAACACCAACAATGAAATATTCCAGCATGTAACCTTTAAAGTAACGCATTCAATATTTTCTGGCTGACGTAAAAGCACGACTGGGATATCGTCTTTGACCAAAATAGTTACTCCTCCTCCTCTAGTATTCCTGTCACGACGAAAAGCCCGATAAGAAGGGGGGAAAACAACCGTATCGTCAATAGCTTCATGTAACCATGTCTCGGTTATCACCACTATGTGAGGGGCGTATCCTAAAATAATTGCCTCGAGTAGGTCACTTTTATTTACAATACTGCGCGCATTGATATTAAGTAGTCGTAGTTCCTTGCAGACCTCATGGGCAAGTCAGTTCTGTTTAGAAGATCCGTGGGTCCGAATATTAATTCTTGCGTTTTGGGTGTCGTCCCAGATAAATGTGTCATCATTGACACGAAGCTTGTCATCCTTTAGACTGACTTTTTTTCCCTGCTGTTTTTCCAATTTTGCACTGTCCCACAGTAGCTTGCGCTTTCTTAATGTGGTGTGCGAGTAATCATTTTGCAAAGATATGACAGTCCCTTTGAGTTTGTAGGCATTCTTTAGAATTTGTTGTTTTTCGTTATAGTCTTGAAAATAAATGATTACAGGACGTTTTTTACCGGGTCTACCAAGACGATGAATTCTGCCGATTGATTTACACTGAACGTTAAGTTTCTTCAAAAATACATCGTCTAAGATTTTAGATTTTAACATAGAATTGGTCTCTTGTGCTTCTTCTGGTATGCCGAAAACCACCAAATTAGAACGCCTAGATTTGTCTTCTATATCTGTCAACTTCGCCTCCAAGGACTTGACTGTATTTTCTAGAGTATCAATACGTGCCACTCGCTTTTCTAATTCTGAAAAACGAGCGACCCAGTCAGCCATGAGCTTTTCCATATTATTCTGCTGAGCTCTAATGGCTGCAACTTCATCAGCTAACTTATTTTGACCAGCTAACAATTCTCTTAGCAAGGCCTCAGTTGAAGGACCGGGATTTGACTCCACGTCACCACAAATCAAAAGCAAGCACACACAAAAGACATCATTTGCACAGCTAAATAAGCGTTGTGGGCACGGTAGGACCAAAAGACCACGATGATCGCTCTTAGTTGAGCTGAAGTATTCACCAACCTGAACGAGACAGAAGAATGGCTTGTTAAACCACATACTTGCTTCCGGTCCACCGCGCCCACTGAAAGCGTAGTGTCGGTGCTGCCTTATAAGGTGCTCTGCGGCAGTCACATGGGGTGCCGACTGCGTCTGCGCACGGGTGTCAAGAAGCACGGATATCGCACTGCTGACAGTATCACGATGTGGCTCCTCAGATGACGCTGAATACTGACGAAGCTTGCCAAATTCGGTTGGTTCGAGCTGCGGATTTATTCCGGAAGGTACACGTTCCCGTCGATGTGTTAAGCCGGCGGATCCAAGAACAAGCACCTGAACGAGACAGAAGAATGGCTTGTTAAACCACATACTTGCTTCCGGTCCACCGCGCCCACTCATTATTTACACAGGACCCCTTTTCGCCGGCAGAACGGCGACAGACTTCGGGAAATACATCGAGGAATGAAAGAGTTACGCTCTTCAAGGTTTTTGATAACTGCGTGGATTTCATCGTCCACGCGCTGTCGTGTAATCAGATCTGTTGTAGTAAGGGCCCCAAAAAACCACTGTCATCTTCGGTGTCATGGCCACAAACTTCGACAGGGGCACGGTACAATGAATCGGCACCTTTGTGCTTGCGGCCCGATTTATATACGATCGTGAAATCGAATTCCTGCAGACAAAGACTCCATCGTGCCAGTCCACTGCACGGGTCCCGTAGGTTGGCTAACCAGCACAACGAATGATGATTGGTCACTAACTTGAAATGGCGTCCATAAAGGTGAGGTCTAAATTTCATCGTGGCTTTTACAACAGTGAGGCACTCTTTCTCTGACGTGGAGTAGATGACCTCGGCGCGGAAAAGAGTGCGGCTGGCGTACGCTATCACTTGATCCGTGCCCTCTTGAAGCTGAATGAGGACAGCACCAAGAGACAGGTTGCTGGCGCCCGTATGAATTTCAGTATCAGCGTCTTGGTCAAAGTGAGCGAAGAGTGGTGGTATCTGCAAACACTCCCGTAGTTCACAGAAAGCTGCGTCTTGTTCTTCCTCCCAGACGAATGGCACACCTTGACGAGTGAGTCGAGGGAGTCGTTCAGCAATTCTAGAAAAATGGGCTATAAAGCGGGGATAGTACGTGCAGAGCCCTAGAAAACGACGTAAAACCTTTTTATCACGTGGAACATAAACGAGGCCACAGCAGTGCTTTTGTCATCATCTGGGCGAACACTATTCAAACTGACAAGGCCGAGAAACTTGAGTTCTTTATAACCAAAGTGACATTTTTTGGCTTCAGCGTGAGGCTAGCAGAGCGGAGCGCTTCCAGCATAGTCTGCAGACGCTTCAGGTGCCCATGAAAAGTCACAAAAAACACGACAGCATCCTCCAGGTGAACTAGGCACGTGTGCCACTTTAGACCGGTAAGAACAGTTTCCAATATTTTCTGGAATGTCAAAGACGTAGAACAGAGGCCGAAAGGAAGCACCTTAAGTTCATAGAGGCCATCCGGTGTAACAAAGGCAGTTTTTTTTGCGATGTCGGTCATAAACGATCGGCCAGTAGCCACTTTTCTTGGCCGCCGCCGCAGTCTGTCGAGGGAACCATCAATGCGGGGCAGTGGATACATATCTCTTTAGTCACGCTGTTAAGTCACGCTATCAAGTATATGAGGTCTTAGATATATATATATATATATATATATATATATATATATATATATATATATATATATATACATATACAGCCTTTTTCACATAATGAAAGATGGCATAAGATAATAGTATATATGCTCTTCTTATATATGTGTTATCACGTTTTCACATCCGCAGCAGCCATCATGCATTCACAGTTGAGAATGCCCTGATATTTTACATATTACCTTGGCCTGCCTTTTACAGCGAAAGCCGTGATGAAACCACATCTCGGGTCCAGAGCAATTGTCTGCCGCCACAGCCACTGGTGTCCGTAACCCCATCGCGTGAAATTAAGAGAAAAACTAAGCCCAGTATTCCACCACTGAGCCACACCGGTGCTTGGGACTTGTTGGCAAACTTGCCTTAGAAAGTCTTCATGTCGAGAAAGCAATCGCGTTATGATGACTTATAAAGCGTTTTGAAACTATGAAGAAATAACCAGTCCTCGCACAATGCGAATAGCGTAGCAAGTGGGCCGCCGAACGCTGCAACCCATTGCAAAAGCTTGTTCTCGTTCCCCTGTTACCAGTGGCACGCACCTATTTCGGTCATAATTTATCATTGTCGTGGGCCACTGCATGAACAATTGCAGCAAAATTCCTTGCAAGTGTTTAACGGATACGACACTTCTCAGAAGAATGACCGAAGGTAGCATATAGCGAATGCCGGCGTGCTACCTCAAAAATTATTATTAATGCCCTATTGGGTATCAATCAGGTGCACTTGCGGCAGTTACACAATGAGTGTTTTGAAATGCTCTGCAAGGCCGCTCTTCTAGCTTTCGCTGTGACTGCGCTGCGACCAGAGGAAACCTCGTCTGGTCGGGAAAATGCAATCCTTTTTTGCTACAGGAGATATTTTACTTATAGTTATGGAGGGAAATAGGGAAACGTCGTCAAAGTCTACAGAAAATGAACACTAAGCTTGTTTGCAGTACTTGCGCTATTGAGTCCCAGTGCTGAGTTGGTGGACTGCTGAATCGTCGTTAGTTGTAAAGAAGATATTCTGCTTTGCTCATTCGTACTCAATTCGTACGACAATACGTGATGAAGTCTACGTGCTGAATATTGGGTATTTATTCAAGTCGTGATAATCAACGTCTTCATTGCGTGCTTTTTTTTTGCGATCCTCTGCCTGACATTTCATGAATATAGCACCTGTTTTGCAGCGATGCCATCGTGATATAAAGATTTCAAGAATGTGGCGATGCCGTAGAGACACAAGAAAAATAAAGAGCAGACGTCCTGAGACACTTTCTAGGGCTGAAGAAATGTCTGAGTTATTTTAGTGTCTGCGGTGGATAGCAAACACATTGTCATGATGCCGTAGCTGCTCAAGGAAGTGAGGGAAGCGAAATAATGAGAAGCGCTGATAAAATAATAGCCAGGGCTACGCGAACACGCAGCACAGTTAACGCGACAGCGAGGTGAACGACTTTTCTTGAGTTCATTTGCAAGATGTGGCAATAGTTACACATACGTCATAAATAATCACAATTTTAACTGTTGAAGCTATCGCTCCGCGAAAATTTCGGCGCCAGCATCGTTGGTTGTGAGCAAGAAATTATCGTCTCTGTCATCGAAGAATTGAAAAAGACGCAAATTAAGCTAATAAAAAAATGACAGCATATCGACGAGGTGAATGATGGAAAGTGGAGCGAAGCTGCGCCCGCATGCTGCTGCCGCGCGGCTTCAGCTTCCGGTTATCCTACGCCGATATCTTGTTGGCACTGTCGTCCAGCTTTGCGACCCGCTTCGCTCTCGCGCGCTTTCACATCGGGCTTCCGTCTTCGAGCGCGAGCCACCACCGTCTTGTGCGCACGCCGCTCTGCAGCCTTGTCCATTCGCCGACCTTCTGAACGCGCGTGTGTGCCAGAACGACATTTATTTTACTACACCACGGACCCTAGTGTACGGCGCCTCTGGCGAACACGCGATCACCGACGGCTACCCGTGACGTCATTCCTATTTTTCCGTTCACTCGCACATCAGGCTTCCGTCTTTGAGCGTGAGTTATATCGGCAAACCGCGAATCACCCACAGGCCGTATTCGTCTGTCTGTCTGTCTGTCTGTCTGTCTGTCTGTCTGTCTGTCTGTCTGTCTGTCTGTCTGTCTGTCTGTCTGTCTGTCTGTCTGATGCACGGACGGATGGATGGACGCAGGAACGGATGCACGAGTAGACGAATAAGCGCATGGACGCATGGACGAGCAGACGCATGGACGAACGCAGGGATGAACAAACAGATGGGTGCACGGATGAACGCACAAGGGGACGGACGAACGGATGGACGTGTAAACGGATGAACAAATGGATGGACGCATAGATGGGCGGACGAATTGATGCTCGGACGAACGGATAGGCGCATGGATGGGCAGATGCAAGAATGAACGAATGGCCGGAGCGCGGAGGGAACGACAGACTCTTGGCCCCACTAATCATCATTCACTCTATGGGTATGCGGTGATTTTGACGCGATAGTGCTAAAGAGCCCTCGTCGCAGAAATTCCGCCGTTGGAGTCGGCACCGTTTGTCTAGAGAGAAAAATTGCCCGTGAGCGAAAAAATTTTGAAAGAAACAAATAAAATAAAAAATTCAATTTTCGTTGACGTTGAGGATTAAACCAGGGCCGTTCGCGTGGCAAGCAGGTATCCTACCACACAGCTACGAAGTTACTTGCAGCTGATTTGGGAAAAACAGTACATAAATGCCATGTAGTGGAAGTAGTCTCCATAACGCATTTTTTTGACAGGTGTCACGAAGAAAACGAGCCCATTCGGCAATTTGTAGGCCCACTTGGGAGGCCATAAAGCTACGTCGAAAAAGGCCAGGGTAGTGCAGCCATCGCCGCTAAAAACAAAGGGGTAGTTTTAAACAGCTCTAAAAATGGTCAACTATGTCCATCTAGCGGCAAACATATCATGTCTTTCCAAAAGCGCTGCTCAAGCAAACAGCAAACGCTAGATATTGTGCTGCCATCCGTGAGGCATTGTGAGACCCTACGAGATGGCCAGCGCGTGGCGTGTATCTTGGAAGCCATGCGACTCTTGCATTAGATCAAGAACTTGTATGTATCATTCGGCGCGCACGCTGGTACAATCAACTGTGTGTGTTTGTGTGTTTGTGTGTGTGTGTGTGTGTGTGTGTGTGTGTGTGTGTGTGTGTGTGTGTGTGTGTGTGTGTGTGTGTGTGTGTGTGTGTGTGTGTGCGTGCGCGTGTGTGTATATGTAACAAAACATATTATAACTATGCACTTAGCGATTGGAGGGCGCACTAGGGGTCGGATTTCGCTATCGCGTTTAACTCTTAAGAAAGAAGATAAATGGTCCCCTAATTTTGTTTAATATTTATCATATTACGAGCGACGGCCCCTAGTATCGTACCATTTGCATTTTTCAGCGTGCATGCATTTCAGCGTACATGAATTTTTCATCGTGCATGTACAAATACCGCCCTCTACAGCCGCTTCAAGAACTGACGGCAGGTGGCAACATACGATGACGGCCGGGCACCTCATCCCACGCCTTAAAGAGCTGTGCTCCTGAAACATTTAATATCCGAGTGAGGAACTAACCCAAGCCATCTGCGTGCAATGTGGTGAACTCCCATAAAGCTGCAAAACTTGATGAAACCGCTTTGAAAAAAATCACAACGTATGCACGTAATGAATGATGATGAGTGGGGTCAAGCATCCGTCAATCCGTCCGAGGTTGCGTCCATGCGTTCGTCAATCCGTACGTGCGCCTGTTCCTGCGTTCATTCATCCGTCCGTCCGTGCGTCAGTCCATCCGCACGTGCGTTCGTCCGTTCGTCCTGTGCGTGCGTTTGTGCGTACGTCCATTGTTGTACGTCCGTCCATGTGTTTGTCTGTCTGTGCATGTGCTTATCTGTCTGTCCGTCCACGCGTCCGTCCATTCATATTGTCACGATGAGTCACAAGTACTGGGAGATATATTGAACAACCGGGTAGCTAGCTCTAGGTCGATGCGTCAGTCGTGGCTGGCTCTCGAGCCGAGAAGAGACACGCAAATCTTCTTCCTTTCCTCCAGATGGTAGAGCCGCTCTTGCAGTCGACCCACTACGTGTGGGTGGCATTATCCCCCCTTTCGAAAAGAAAAAAAAAGTCCCAAAAGGGGGAAAGAAAAGTACATAGCACCACCACGATGTTACAACATAGGCACGTGGAAAAAAAGAAATTGGAAATTCGGATAAAGTAAAAATAGAAATGAACGAGCGTGCCAATATAGGAAAAATCAGTGAACGAAGAAGCAAGTTCACAAAAATAAATAAATAACACAAAGAACGCTGTACGGCAAGAAAAAAGTTATGAACAACGCGCAATAAATGGTTTCATGCGCAACACATGAACGACATCCGACCTCGGTCGTGTCCTACTCCGTGCCTGCGATGTTGAGTCCGGAACCACTTCATAGTTCACGTCACTGACGCGACGTAACACTTTATAAGGGCCAAAGTACCGGCTCAGTAACTTTTCACTAAGGCCACGGCGGCGGACGGGCGTCCACACCCAAACTTGGTCTCCGGGGTTGTAAAATACTTCACTGTGGCGGATGTTATAGCGCCGTGCGTCTGCCTGCTGTTGCTGGCCGATGTGTAGTCGCGCGAGCTGCCGGGCTTCCTCAGCACGCTCTGCGAATTCATCGGCGTCAGTTGTCAACTCGTCTTCGTCTTGACACGGTAGCATAGAGTCCAGCATGGTCTGCACTTCGCGGCCGTAGAGAAGCCGAAATGGCGTGAATCGCGTGGTCTCTTGCACGGCGGTATTATACGCGAAGGTCACGTAAGGTAAGATCCGGTCCCATGTTTTGTGCTGTACGTCGATGTACATTGAGATCATGTCTGCAATGGTCTTATTCAGTCGCTCGGTAAGTCCGTTGGTTTGCGGGTGGTACGCAGTTGTCTTTCGGTGTCTGGTGTTGCTCAGTTTGAAAACCTCGTCCATAAGCTGCGCCGTGAATGCCGTCCCTCTGTCCGTTATTATAGTGGAAGGAGCACCGTGTCGTAACACGATGTGGCGCATGAAAAATTGTGCTACCTCAGAAGCCGTGGCTCGTGGGATCGCCTGCGTCTCAGCGTAGCGTGTCAGATAGTCGGTCGCGACGATCACCCATTTGTTGCTGTCCGCAGATAGGGGAAATGGCCCGAGAATGTCCATGCCGACTTGGTCGAACGGCGTGCAGGGTGCTTCAATGGGCTGAAGCAAACCAGCTGGCTTAACAGATGGTTGCTTTCGACGCTGACATTCCCGACAGCTCTTGACGTACTTCTTGACGCTTGCCAAAAGTCCTGGCCAATAGTACCTCTCACTCACTCTGGCAAGTGTCCGTGAGTAGCCCAGATGACCGGATGTGGGTTCGTCATGGCAAGCGAAAAGGACGTCGTCTCGCATGTCTCGAGGAACCACCAGGAGGTAGGTACGGTTGTTCGAACGAGCGTTCTTCTTGTACAGCACACCCTCTCGAAGGCAGAATGACGGCAACGAGCGGGATAAATGACGTGGTATGATTGTGTCCTGGCCCTCTAAATGATCGATGATCGGACGAATCTCTGTGTCATCCCGCTGCAGTTTACTCAAGTCTGATGAGCTAATGGCGCCCAGGAAGCCTTCGTCTTCCTCTGCTTCCTGACTGACGACATGAAGGGGTGCGCGTGACAGTGTGTCAGCGTCTTCATGCTTACGGCCGGACTTATGGACGATGGTGACGTCAAATTCCTGCAGCCGCAAGCTCCACCGTGCTAGCCGTCCTGAAGGGTCGCGCAGGCTTGCCAACCAGCAGAGGGCATGGTGGTCCGTCACTACCTTGAAGGGACGACCATAAAGGTACGGGCGAAACTTGGTGATTGCCCACACGACTGCGAGGCACTCTTTCTCCGTAGTGAAATAATTCGCCTCGGCACGGGATAGAGAGCGGCTGGCGTAGGCTATCACCCTTTCGATGTCGTCTTGACGCTGAACGAGCACTGCACCAAGCCCAACGTTACTAGCGTCAGTATGGACCTCCGTGTCAGCATCATCGTCGAAATGAGCGAGAACGGGTGCTGATTGCATGCGCTGTCGCA